GAAACTACTAGTATTCTGCTGCAAATGTGTGTGTACAGTTGCTTGTCCTTTTGCAACACACTGGTTATGAGTACTTTTATGTGCTATCTCTGCAGGGTTGGTACATTGTGACATATGCCCTGGGGATCTACTATCTCAATCTGTTCATCGCCTTCCTCTCACCCAAAGTGGACCCTTCCATGGAAGACAACGGTCAGTGGGCATCCTCTCATCTAGAAGTAACAAATATTCATCTCAAAATTACAGAAATTTTATAATAACAGTTTCATGGTATCCTGATGTGATGTGTATTTTCCAGAGGATGGACCGTCACTTCCAACCCGATCCAGTGAGGAGTTCAGACCCTTCATCAGGAGGTTACCTGAGTTCAAATTCTGGTAAGGTTGAAATTTGCTGCATGGACTATGGTCAATCTGAGAAAGAAGAAGTTAAAGGCTTGCAAATGGATAACAAATGCAGAGATTACAATCTTGTACATGTGTATGTGCTTTTAATTACCTTTTATGTGTGAAGTACCCCTACAATGAACAGGTAAACTCTGTCAAATAACTTACTTTCTCCTTCTGTGACAGCCATTTTAAAAACATTTTACAATCGTAAGAGTAGAACTGCACAGAGCCCTTCAAATGAGTTCCCTTTGGTAACATGTTTTGCTGTGTTTTCACAGGTATTCAGGTACAAAAGCTATCGTAATTGCGATGACGTGCACGTTCTTCGAGGCGTTCAATGTGCCAGTGTTCTGGCCAATCCTGGTGATGTACTTCATCATCCTCTTCTGCATCACCATGAAGAGACAAATCAAGGTAAGGGGTCATTGCAAAACTTCATCAGTACTTGTGGACAAAGTCAAATTTGTCTACAATAGTCTGTTATCATGTGAATGTCATTGAATTTTGCAGATGTTTAAAACCAATATGTTTCTTCATGATACTCATTTAAGACACTGGTTGAAAGACAACAGTCATGTAGTTTATAGCAACTTTAGCAAGTATTAGTATGACATTATTATCCAGGTCTTTTTCAG